CCTCAAGGCATCCTTTGGAAATTCTGTTTTCCTGCTTGGGATGAAAACCTCTTGCTACCTGCCAATATCTATATGCTTGGATGACTGGAGAATCTTTATTCTACTCTGAAAACAAAAACAGGCGCAAGAAGAAAAGATATCTGGAAGCCTGTAAAAGACCATGACAAATGTTTTTGGAACAAATAGCACGCTTATGCCCAATTGGAACAGCTCGCAGAAATGACAGAAGGCCAAAGAGAGGCTGCAACTTGTATCCCCCTTAACACAACCAGGTGGTGAGTTTTGTGGTCAGTCTGCTATGAATTGTCCTTGAAAACAGGTTGCCTGAGGAGAGTACAGAAAATGCAAAATGTACTCTGTGGTCATAGTACTTTCAGCCAAGATTCCATACAGATGATTATTGAATAGTTCTTGGACATGTCCATGGAGTACAGCATAATGTCATTGAGGCTCATATTATATGATTCAGAAATACAAACCTTAGAGCTTATGCCACCTGCTTCAGAAATGAAAGGAGAATGAATCCTCAGACTGTCATCTTCTCATGGCCAGAGCTCTTAAAGAATATTATACTCTGGGCAAGAGAAAGAAGGCTTCAATGAGAAAGTGGGAAATGAAGCACCTTCGTGAGTGGGGATAGATAGTTTCAACCCCAAGCAGACTTTCTTGAAGTATGATTAGTAGTCCTTCTTCCAAATTCTACTTTATTATTGTAGTACTAGAGCAGGCAGGTAATGGGCACAATATCTTTGTAGAACTGGTTGATAAAACCTGTGAATAAATTGTCATTAAAACCCACTCAGTACTAATCAGCTAATGCAAATTGAAGAAATGGATTTCCATTATAATTATAATTTTTATGAATCTAATTTTACAAAAGTAATCATCTCATACTTGTGTGAAGGACTTAGCCTTGGCTCTCATGAGTAATCTTTACTCAAGGAACAACAAAAATAGAGCAGATCATGTATTGTGTTATTTTAAATGTTATTTTTCTTATTCTGCTATGCTATTTAATTGATTCCTATTTTAAGTCCATTTTTCTCCCTTTAGGGTGAAAGAGACACAGTAAGGAACACTGCATTGATGAGCAAGCTTTACTGTCCTGCCTTTTATATTTTGCTTTGACTTTGTGATGGATGCCAGTGATGAATATAAATGTTAACAGTCAACTACTAAAATATCTGTCTCTTTTATGTGAAATAGTTTTCTAGAAGTGCCTTTTTAATGAATTGGCATTGTCTTATGATGATGATGATACGTGGCCAGAATTATATATATTCTCAGATTCTTAGAGAGGCAGTTTCATGACAAATTAGTGATTGATGAATTAAGATAATTAAGATAAATCCTCTTATTTGGCATTCAACTGAGTTCTGTGTGTCAGAACTAATTTTTATATATTCACTGGTCACATTTAACAAGCAATCATACACACATTTTCCTTGGAACAAGACACATTGAATTCAATGGGCCATACTTCTGAGTAGATGTATATAGGATTCCAGTGTTAATTCTTTATATGCTAGGAATAAAAATGCTGCACTAAAATTTCTACTTTATGCTCAGATTTGTCATATTGGTACATGCATCCCCATCTGTTGGAGCTACAATAAATTCCAGGTATGTGGTGCTTACTCAGGTTTGGTTTCTTTTGGAAGGAGGTAGGTAACTGGAGGCTAATGGGAGGCGGGTGGTGCTGAGGGTTAAACCACTGTGCTGCTTGGGCTTGCCAACTGAAAGGTTGGCAGTTTGAATCCCCATGATGGAGTGAGCTCCCGTTGCTCTGTCTCTGCTCCTGCCAACCTAGCAGTTTGAAAGCACACCAGTGCAAGTAGATAAATAGGCAGGAAGGTAAATGGCGTTTCCGTGTGCTGCTCTGGTTTCGCCAGAAGCGGCTTAGTCATGCTGGCCACATGACCTGGAAAAACTGTCTGTGGAAGTGGACAAACGCTGGTTCCCTTGTCCTTTAAAGCGAGATGAGTGCTGCAACCCTAGAGTTGTTCGCGACTGGACTTAATTGTCAGGGGTTCCTTTACCTTTTAACTGGAGGCTAGGGTGGGGATTCAAATCAGTTTGCATCTAAAAGTAATCCTACCAAATTTATACTTTCCTAAAGAATATGTGAACTAAAACCTGGCAATTCTTCTAAATGAATCCTTTTTTGAATTTTGCAATGCAGTTCTCCAGCAAGCTAATACGTACAAAAATGTATATGCTAGGATAATGTTTGCATGAAATACAGAACTGGGTGGGATAAAGTTTGTTCTCTCTCTCTCTCTCTCTCTCTCTCTCTCTCTCTCTCTCTCTCGTCTCTCTTGCACACACACACACACACACACACACTCCTTAGACACATGGAATCAGCAAAGGTCCTCTTCTTTCTTTTTTAAAAAGAAATTACATTATGCTATTCTTTTGTCTATTCTAGCGAACCTATTCTCTCAGATCCAGCCCAATTCTTTGCCTTTGTTCAGTCCCTAAATATAACTTTGCCTGACAACCAGGCTGAAGCCATACTTGAAAAAGTTTAAGTTTTCATAAGAGAGCCTACACTTTAGCTAATTAGAACTAATTGGCAATAATTCAAGCAATAAAATAATGCATAGTTTCTTTCATGTATGCATATATCCAAAGGGAAAGGAAAAGATTGCATTATGACAAATGTTACAATCCTATAAGAAAAGGTGCCTCTGAAAATGGATGAATTATAATTGCTTTTTTTGAAAATGGATGAATTATAATTTAAGAATTTTTTTTGAGTGATGGACAGGAGTGGGCTAATGAAGCCATAGGCAGATTTAGTGGAATGTGACTGCTTTGCCCGCACTGGGCGCCAAGTTGAGAGGGTGTGGCAGGGGGCTCTGCAACAACGATGAACAATGGAAGGCAAGAGCTGGGGGGGGGGCAAAATTTTGGTGTTGCACAGGCCACCCCTGAAATTCTAAAACCCAAAGTTTGTCACTGATGAAGCTGGGAGTACTATGGGGGACTGTCTTAATGCCACTGGCAAAAGTTGCTTCCCTCTGTCCTGTTGTCCTCTACATTTTTTCTTTGGGGGGGGGGAGCTGCAGACAAAAAGCCTGGCCCAATGACTTTTATGTCATTTGAAAGATCACATAAAATATAAAAACAATCCAGCAAGGAAATGTTGGGAATAAAGTTCTGTTTGAATACAGCCACAGTCTAACCTCCCTGTAAGCATTGCACATGCTAATCAGGATGGCTGCTCAATAAATAGATAATATTGAGGAGCCCTTGGTGCCTGTTTCTTGTTAGAAATAAGAAAGCAAATTCAGGTGGTAAACCATGTTTTATCAAACCCATTCTGCAGAGACACCCATTTTGGGACTTATATATGTAAACACACATATGACTGGATTGCAAGTTTAGCACCATAACTTGCAGCCTGTGACCTTTTTAGCCTTGGCTTCTAAAGCAGACAGCATTTTGTGTACTGCTTCTGGGTGCGTTCTGAGAACACATTGATATGGACCAGTGATCGACATCCTGATACCCTCCAGGTGTTTGTGACTGCAGTTCTCACACTTTTTGAATACGGAGGGCAAATTCAATGTCCATTTAGGCTGTTTTCTAACTAAACAAGGTGTCTATCCCCACTCATGAAGGTGCTTCCTTTACTCACTTTCTCCTTGAAGCCTTCTTCCTCTTTTCCAGACAAGAGTCCTCTTCAAGAGCCCATGCTGGCTATTAGAGTAAGGTTACCAGATTTTTTCCAATGAATCCAGGGGCACTTTTCAACTTCAATGGATTTTGTATGGGGGCTGATTTGTAAATCTGGGGACTGTCCCCGGGAAATGGGGACGTCTGGTAACCTTATATTAGAGGAACTGTGCTCACCTGTAACACACCCCTATCATCCACTTCTTCTGGATTCACTTCTGGCAGAGGAGGCACTATGAAACCCTCCACTGGCATTGGCTTTCCATGGCAAACAACATAAAAGCCTTCCATTTTAATCCATCAAAGGACTCTCTGGCTCACTTGGTAGTGTTGCTTGCATGCAGCATATATACCAGTGTTTCCCAACCACTGTTCCGCGGCACACTAGTGTGCCGCGAGATGTTGCCTGGTGTGCCGCGGGAAAAATTAAAAAATTGAAAGATTTTTTTTTTAAGTCAAATTTTCGATTGGGGCGCCGTCACTAGATGACCCCTGGGGTTCCCTCCCTCCCTCCCGCTCTGCGCCTCCCTCCTCCTCCTCCTCCGGGGAGGCCCTTCCTGGCTCTCGGCCAAGGCTTGGCGGCTGCCACTCACTCACTCGCTCGCCCACCCGTCCCTCCATCCCTGCACCCGGCCTCTCCCCCTCCGTCCCCGGCGCAGGGGCTGCCGGGATCCGTAGTCCCCTCGCCCTTGGGCTCCGCGCCCGCGCGGGGTGCGCGAACTACGTTTCCCAGCGTGGCCTGGCGGGCCGGGCGTTTTGTTTGAAGAGCTCTTCTCCCGGCCATGGAATGAGCGCAGCGGCGGCGGCTGGGCGGGCAGGGGCTCTTCCGCGCAGACCCCGCGCAGCCTGCCTGCGCCCCGCGGAGATCGGGCGGCAGGATGGAGCCCGGGGATCCCCGCGGAGGCGGAGCGGCGGAGGCGGAGGCTGCCCCCCAGGTAGGGCTGCGTCTGTCAGTGTTTGTAAAAAGCAAAAAAAAAGGAGGAAAAGGTTCTGACCTCCCTTTGCCTCTTCAGCCTGGTCCTCGGACCCTTGTCGGCACAAAAAGAGTCCACGAGAATATCCTTGCAGAGTTTTATTCTTAAAAGTCTTTGTGCAAAACACGACTGAATAACTATACACACCAGCACCAACCAACCCAAACACCAGCCTCAGCAACAAACTAACATTTCTCACTTATATATACAACTTGGTGCAGACCGCTGAGTCATGCTGACCCAGCTTTATTCGCATTAAAGAAACAGCGGCCATTTTAGCCGTGACACCCCTTCTGTTTCTTTAAATGCGAAGAACCCCAACAGAAACAATACATACATACATTATATACATAAACCCAGTTTTGTCATCAGTTCATTATGGCATGATGCTGGCAAAGGCTTGGTGAACAAATCAGCAATATTATCTTGTGATTGACAATACTCCAGTTTGATTACCCCATTCTGTACACAATCTCTAACATTCGCATGACGGATAGCAATATGTTTTGATGCGGATTTCATTATTTCCGAGCCCGCTAATGCAATGCACGATTGGCTATCTTCATACACTTGGATAGGCAAATCTACTTTACAATCTAGATCTTTTAGTATCTGTATAAACCACATGATTTCATTGCATGCTAGCGACAGGCTCCCATATTCTGCCTCACAGGATGAGGTTGCAACAAATCCTTGTTTCTTTGACCTCCACCCAATTATGGAATTGGCAAACATCATAACCATTCCACTTGTAGATTTTCTGGTAGCTACACAGCTTCCCCAGTCCGCATCAACAAATACTTCTAGTTTTTCGTCTTGTGTACTAGATATCTTCAAACATACATTTAATGTCCCCTTTATATATCTGATAAGCCTTTTCAAAGCACACCAATCAGCAGTACTGGGTTTAGATACACGTTGGCTCAGGACATTTGTAGCACATGCAATGTCTGGCCTTGACCACTGGCTTAAATATAACAGTGATCCTATTTTTGAGTGATACAACTCAGGCTGAATAAATTCATCATCACACACTGTCTTTGGGAACTCTGGTGTCATGGGAGTCTGAACTGGCTTGCAGTTTTCCATGCCAAACTGCTCTATCAAACGAAGAATTTTCTCTTTCTGACTCAATAGGAAGCTTCCATCAGCTTCCTGCCTTACTTCTACTCCCAAGTAATTGCTTACAGGCCCCAAGGCTTTAAGCTTAAACCTCTTTTCCAGTTGACTTGTGAGCTTCTGGATCTCATCTGTGGAACTCCCTGCCACAAGCAAATCATCAACAAAGACTAAGAGCATTAGATATTTGTTGCCTGATCCCTTGGTGTACAGGCATGGATCAGCCACACTCCTTTTAAAACCAAGTTTTACAAGGGCTTCATTTAAACACTGGTTCCAACACCTTCCACTTTGTTTGAGACCATAAACAGCCTTTCTCAAACGCCAGACTGCACCATTCTCCTCTTCAAACCCAGGGGGTTGTCTCATTAACACTTCATGGTCTAAATTTGCATGCAGATATGCAGCATCAACGTCAAAATGGTGCACTGCTAGTTGTCTTACAGCAGCAATGGAAAGCATTAAGCGAAAAGTTTCACTCTTTACAGTGGGAGAAAACACTTCATCATAACTCTCCCCTTTAATCTGAGTGAACCCTCTGGCTACTAATCTGGCTTGAAAACGTGGTTCCCCAGATGCAAGGGTTTTCCTTTTGTAAACCCACTTGCATGACACCACTCTGCCACCAGGTGGCGGCATTATGACCTCAAACACTTTGTTACGTTTAAAAGAGTCCATTTCTTCTTTCATAGCTTGTTCCACAAAGCACGTTCCCCAGGGGGTAAGTCTAAGACTTCATTATAACTTTGTGGTTCCACACAACTCATATTGCATACTCTCACTCCTCCTAGGGTCAAACGTTGAGGAGGTACACCCTTGTTTGAACGCTGGGAGCGCCTAGGCACTACTACTTCTTCTTCCCCCCTTATCTCTGGCTCTTCTTCCTCTTCCTCTAGAGAAGTATTATCTATTGCCACATCTTTTGGGGAAATCTGTGCCCTCTCCTCATCCTGCTCCTGTGTTGCCAATGGCTGAGAAGAAGCCTCTTCTCTTACTTGCAGGGGCAGTAGGCAATCTGGGTTGGCATGGATCACAGTCCATCTGTCCTGGTCAGCGAAGTCTGCACTTCGTGACAGAACCACTCGTCCTGGGCATAAATTGAAACGCCACCCTTTGCCATAGGACTGATATCCCACAAACCGTAGTCTCTGCGCTCTAGCACCCCCTTTCTGGCGCTGAGCTTTGGGGATGTTTACATGTGCCCAAGCACCCCAGTTATGGAGCATTGTCCACTCTGGTTCTTTCCCAAACAACACACGATAAGGAATATCTTTTATAGAGCTAGACCAGGTTCTATTAATCAAAAAATTCGCTGTCAGAAAAGCCTCGCCCCACAGCCTATGGTTGTGACCCAATCCTGCATCCACTAGCAGGCAGTCCTTTACTGACTGTATTACAGCCCCACGTCTTTCACACAGACCATTTTCAGCAGGGCTATAAGGGTTAGTCAAACGATGAGTGATCCCCTTACATCACAACCATGTCCCAAATTGTTTGTTCAGAAATTCTCCGCCCCTATCTGTTTGCAACTGCACAACAGGGCGAGCGAAGAGCTTTTCAGCTTGGGCAACCCATTCTCTGAATGTGGGGAAACACTCAGATTTCTGCTTTAACAAAAACAACCAACTAAAACGTGATTTATCATCAATTACCAGAAAAGCATATCTGGCGCCCCCTTCAGTCTTCTGTGGAAAAGGGCCTATCACGTCACAATGGACAAGTTCTAAAACCTCTTTAGATACTCTGTCACTTTTAGGCTTCCTCTTAGATTTGGCCATTTTACATACATTGCAATCTAGGAAACAGTTACAGCTGTTTACTTTTAGGTTCTTGCACACCTTTTGCATCTCTGAAAGCACACGGAAATTGGCATGACCCAGTTTTCTGTGCAGTTCATGTACACACCCCTTATGAACTGGCAAATTATCCTGAACCACCTGGGCTGCTTTAACAGGCTTGTCCTGCATTACATATAACCCATTTTCCAACTTTGCATGGCCACATACCTGAGTTCCATTCTTTATCAGACAGCCATCTTGTGTGAAGTTAACACTATACCCTGCATTAATCAAACAGCTTACAGACAGCAAACAATAGTCCAAACTGCTGACAAACAGAGTCTCTGGTAGAGTAGTGTTCAAGCACTGCAGGAAACATGTTCCCTGGCCATCAATCTTGCTTCTACGACCATCAGCAAGATAAATTGAGTCTTTTCCATCAGCTGGCTTCCCCAGGGTCTTAAAGTCCTCCAGACTGTTGCAGATAATCCTGCTGCTCCCAGAGTCCAGCAACCATGTTCCTCGAGGTATCTTCCTCTCCTCTCGAGAAAATGCAGACACAAACTGAGCAGAACGCGTGTTCTTCTTCCCTGAAGAGAACCCCTTCTGCTTACGTTTCTGCGTCGATTGCTGTCTCTGCTCCACGTCGTCTCCTGGAAGTCTTGCCCTGCATTGACGCTGGAGATGCCCGGGTTGGTTGCATCTATAGCACCTCCTCACCGCCATTGCCAAGTCCAAACCTTGGCGTTGCTCCATTGGCAGATTCTGCTGCTGGCCCCCTTTGCTGTAACTCCTCCGCTCTTGGAGTTCAGCCTGTCTATCTGACCTTTTCTCTGCTTCTTCGGTCAATCTTCCAACCACATACTCAAGGGTCAGATCTCGGGGACGCATACTCTCCATGCTGTTAATCACGGGCAACCAGCTTTCAGGCAAACTTGAAAGAATAATGTAGGTTTGGTCAGTCTCATCATAACGCTTACCTCTCTGCTGTAGTTGAAGAAACAGAGATTTCAGCGTTTGAAGATGAGTTGCCAAACTCTCACCTTCTTTCATAACAGTCCTGAACAGCCTTCTGGTCAGAGAAATTATAGTTCCAGCAGTTTCTCTGACATGCATTGCCCTTAATAAATTCCAGCACTCAAACGCTGTGCTGGCATTTGCTACATGCAATAACTGAGAGTTGCTCAAACACAGCATAATTTGGGCACGAGCCCTTTCATCCAGCCGTTTTTTCTCAGCAGAGTCAGTCCTCAAAACCTCAGTTTCAACACAGTCCCATAGTCCATCTCTCCTTAACAACTGCTGCATTTTAATTGACCAACTCAGCCAGTTGCTTTCTGAGAGAAGTTCAAAAGGGATGCCTCCCCCAATATTTACAACTTGGAAAGACTGGAAATCTGCCATCTCTGCTGGTGCTTGCTGAGCCCCTTCTGTGGGGCCTCCAGCAAACTCTCCAGACTCTCTCTTTAGAGTCCCACTAGATGGTCCTGGCTGGCACTCACCGGCTTCTAGCTGCTGCCTCTGTTGACCCTCAGGTCCCGCCTGGCTCTGCAACTGGTGTAGCCGCTCTGTGAGTCGCCTACTGTGGTCCTCTAGCAGTTCAAACTGTTCCAGTAGCTGACGCTGAGTGCTTTTCTGGTCCTCAGATCCTAGCCGCTCCAGCGTCGCTGCAGACAGTTACAGCTTGCCACCAACTGCTCCAACGCACAGCCACTGGCTCCATACACCACCAGGACTCACCAGCTCCCTGCTGAGATGCTGTCAGTCGATTTGCACTCTGCACATGCTCAGAAACACTGGGCCCATAACCTGTCAGTGTTTGTAAAAAGCAAAAAAAAAGGAGGAAAAGGTTCTGACCTCCCTTTGCCTCTTCAGCCTGGTCCTCGGACCCTTGTCGGCACAAAAAGAGTCCACGAGAATATCCTTGCAGAGTTTTATTCTTAAAAGTCTTTGTGCAAAACACGACTGAATAACTATACACACCAGCACCAACCAACCCAAACACCAGCCTCAGCAACAAACTAACATTTCTCACTTATATATACAACTTGGTGCAGACCGCTGAGTCATGCTGACCCAGCTTTATTCACATTAAAGAAACAGCGGCCATTTTAGCCGTGACAGCGTCGGGGTTTTTTTATTTTTGCAATGCTGCATCCGCGCCGGAGGGGACGCATCGGACCGCGGGGAGACCCCTTGGCGTGCGTGCAAGGCAATGCATGCGTGCAGGCGTTGCATGGAGTGCAGTGCAATGCAATGGCAACGCAGCGCCCTGCATGCATGCATGCAACTTCCACCGGCGCTCCGGACTTGGCAGGTGAGGGGGGTCCCCAGTGGGCGGCAGAGAGAGCCGGGAGGGCGAAGGGGAGCCGGGGGGGGCAGCGCTGCTCCCCGAGCCGAGCCCGGGGGGAAACTTCGGCGTCGTTGCGCCGGGTGTTGGAAGCGGAGGCTGGCGGGGGCCCCTCACCTGCAAAACCTGGTCGCCTCTCATATATTTCGTGCATTGCATTCATCGCCCGCTTTCTCCTCCAAGGAGCTCCCGGGGGCGCGCGTGGTTCTCCCCGTGTTATCCTTGCAACAACAGCCCTGCGAGGTGGGTCAGGCGAGTGGCCCAAGGGAGCACCCAGGGATTGTCCTGGCCAGGTGGGGTGATTTGAACCCTGCTCTCTGCCCGGTCTTCGTCCTCATTTAGCCCCCACATGTGCATGACTGTGCATGACTGAGGTTTTCCCCCCTCGTCTTGGCTATGGTGTGAGTCTGTGCTGTTAATTAATGGGGTTCTGCCTTCGGAGAAGATGAGCCAGCCCTCAAGGAGGTGATTATGTAATTTGCTAGCAATTCATGTCCCTCCCGGCGTGACGCTGCGCGCTGACGTCACGGGGCTGTAATGGTGGTGTGCCTCGAGATTTTTTTCATGAAACAAGTGTGCCTTTGCCCAAAAAAGGTTGGGAAACACTGATATATACAACAATCCTGGAATGAATATTACCAGCAAAGCTACTCGATATTCCCTGCATAATCTTTGTAATATGCAGGCAATCCATTCCAAATGCAGATCAGAACACTAAGAGCTTTATGTGCTGTTCTGGAATCCAAGGAAGCATATAGCCTCAGGGGCTGCTTTAAATGAGTCTTCCAGGATCCTCATGAATGTTAACTCAGACACCATTTATCTAGTGCTGAGAAACCAAGGACTCTCATTCTTTGCCAATATCCTTAATAGACACAAGCCCCTGGTACCATCCACGATACTCTAGATAAGCAGACGCTGCTCATCCTACGCAATACTATGCTGTGTTAACATTCAGTACAGAGAGGATATTTATAGTGACGTAAAGGATGAGAAATTGACATGCTAGACCAGCAGAACAGGAAAAGAAAGTCACGGGGGGGGGGGGATAA